CTTATTTAGCCATGAAAAATATATAAAAATATTTTAACAATATTTATGTAGTTGAAATCAGTAACTCTTAAAAATTGCTTCCACATTTTAAATCACAGATGACTTTACTCACTCCTCAGTTACAAAAATATTTACCTTGATTTCCAGATATATCATCAAATCAAATGAAAATAGAGGTATTTTTGCCTCTTCTTTTTCAATTTTTATACATCTAATTATTTTCTCTTGTCTCATTATGGTAACTAACAGCTCCAATATAATTTTAATTAGGAATGGAGATAACTGAGCAGTAATGTCTCTCAAGTATCCCCATGTATTAAGATGCAGGCTTTAGTCTTAAAGTGTATGTACATGTATATAATTTTTTTTTAAATTTCAATTTGAGTTTTATTACATTTCTACATGTATATAATGTTAAAGAAGTGTTCATCAATACATATTTTATCCAGTGTTTTTATATGGAATATACATTGAAGGTTTAAAAAAGTTTCTTTCAGGGGTTAGGAAGATAAGCATGTGATGTTTTTCTTTAGATGCATTATTATAAGTTAAATAGTTTTCCTAACACTAAATTTTACTGGCATTCTTGAGTAACAGATTTTTTAAATTATTATTTGAATGCACAGATGGATACTTTCTCTTTGATATTACTAATTTTGTATATCTGATGTTTCTGCTTCATAAGATTAATAATTTGGGTACTGTGCTAATATTTCCCAACTTGCAAAGCTATTTAATTATTTATTTGTTGTATCATTTTCTTTTTATATCTTCTAATTAGGTTTAGTTTTTGCACTTTGAATTCCTTACCAGCTTTGCATCAATATGATGCATCAATACATTTTTCATAGTTACCATAGTGTAAATGCACTATTCTACACTGTATGTTCTATTTCACATTGAATGTCTCAATAATTTTCCTTGATGTTCAATAGTATTCAAATGTTTAAATGTTAATGACTAAATAGTATCCCTAGCAGATGACTTTGAAAAAAACACAGGAAATTTGATGAAGAAAGAAGCCTCAGCATTTCTATCAAATATATCTAGATGTATATATTGAGAAATGTAGATTGTATTGTTTACGGAAAAAACACATTATAATAATTTTTTCTCAACCTAATAACTGGCCCATATTAAACACCCCATTTTGATCAATTTCAGCACTAAGCTCATCCTAACTATAAACATTCTTAATTTTTTTCACAGCTTTTTTCACCATGAAGTTTAACTATAGACATCCTAGCATTCATGTGCCTCAGCTAGGGCTACAAATAAGGCATATTAAACTGATGCAATCTTCCTTGACCCCAATTGGATTGTACAACTGCACCAGAAAAATGAGGATGTAACAATTGGATATCCAAAGTATCACTAGGGCTGGCATCACTGGCCCTTCCACATTGTTTTTCCCATTCATACAACACCAGAGTTCATTTAGTGATCTCTCCTTGTTTCTTAGTCACTTTCTTCATTGCTAGGACACAATACCTGACACTTCCAACTTAAAAGAGAAGAGGTTTATTTTGGCTTATGTTTGTAGTCCATGGTCAACTGGCTCCAAGGCAAGATGGCATGGCAGAGGAGAATAGCAGAGGAAAGCTTCTCACATATTCGTGGCCAGAAGGCAGAGAGAGAAGAGATGAAGCAAGGAGGGAGATACACCTTTTCAGGTCATGCCCTCAGTAAGTGACTCTTTCAACCAGACCCTACCTTCCAACTGCAAGTTAACTATGTTGCCCCATGATTCAATCACCTCCCCAAAGCCCTTCTTCTAAGTAAATGATGCTCTTGGGGGACATCTAGATATAAACCATAATATAAATATAAACCCCAAGTCTCATATGAACCTCCTTAAACAAAATGCATTTAGCTCATCTCTAAAAGTTGCCAAAGTTTTAACAGTTTCAGCACTGCTTCAAATTCTATGTCCAAAGTTTTCTCTAAGACTCAAGGCAAACTTAGCTTTGAGTCCCTATAAAAATCAAAAAGAAAAGTAAACACTACCAACACACAATGGCACAAGTAAACATTCCCATTCCAAAATGAAGGAATGGGGAGATAGAAAGCAATGGGAGCAAAGCAAGACCAAAACCAGCTGGGCAAACATTAAATACTGTAGCTCCATGTCCAGAACGCAGAACAAAGATGTGAACTCCAAATTGCATAGGCAGCCCTGCCTCTATGGGATTTCTTGTTGTAGCTCTCATAACCACACTCTTTGCTCACTTCTTGCTCAGCTTTCCTTGCAGATATTCCACATTCCTAGATTTTCCAACTTCTGGGGTCTCCACTGCACTTTCAGCTTCATTCGCAGTTCCACACATTGCCCTCTCAAGGGCACACTTCCTGACCTCCCAAGCCTATTGAAATCTGGGTGGAGGCCTTCCTAACTCCACAATTCTTGCATAAAACCAGCACCATGTAGATGATGTCAATGTTTACTGCCAACCCGAGCAATAGTTTGTACCCCATGAATCAATGTTGCAGCAGCTTCTGAGTGCCTGGAAGGCTGAGCTTCAGGAAACTCTTCTGTAGCTGGCCCCGAATGGGCTGTTTTCTGTGGTACATTTTTCTCAAAGGACAGTCTTTCTCTTTTGGTCCCTTGAACTTGTGAAGGGTGGCGTCTTGCTGATTCCCAGGCTGCTGTCAAAGCATCTTTCCTATTGTCCTGATGTGAAGCACTTGGCTTCTCTTTAAACAGCATGCTCACTCTCAAAGGTACCATCTTGTAGGTGCTTCCTTTCTGGCCAAGCAGAAAACTTCTTAAATGGGCTTTTTGCTCTTGATTTTCAGTAGAAAACTGGATAAAAATTGCCAACAGTACCAGGGCCATAGCCCCAGTGTTAGGCTGCCTTGAAATTTCCTCTGCCAGATCAATTGGTTTGCTATCCTTAATCTTAGTCTCCCACAAAATCTCAGGACATGGGCAAAATATAGACAAATTTTCTGCTTGGGCATAACACTCATGACCTTTAGCTCAAGTGCCAATGGAGTCCTTGATGCATTTCTATCAGCTTTTGGTCTTCTGAACTCCATTCAGAATCTTCCTCCATCAAGCTCAGCTTAGAGCACTCTAGGGCTCCCTTAGCTGGCATCTCCAAATCTTTCCAAACACCTCTCACAAACCAGTTCCAAAGAATTCTAAACCACATGGTTAGGTAAGTCACAGAAACCACCTATTCCCAGTACTAAAATCTGTCTTAGTCCTTTGACTCATCACTAGGATAAAATACCTGATACCCAGAATTTAAATGAGGACAAATTTATTTTAGCTCACGTTTGTAGACCATGATTGGTTGGCTCCAAGGCAAGTACAGCATGGCAGAGGTCACAGCAGAAAAAAGGCTGGTCATGTCATACCTGCCAGGAAGCAGAGAGAGAAAGATGAGCCAGGTAGGCAGATACACCTTTTCAGGTCATGCCCTCAGTGACTTGACTTCCAATCAGACCCCATCTCCCTTATCATTGTTTAAAGAAAAGCCTTTTTAGCAAGTCCAAAACAGAAAAGCACTTAACTTCCCCAAGACATGCTCAGACTTTAAGAAACCTCATGTTGACCTTTTCAGACATCAGGGTAAGTACAAAAAAATACACTAGTTGGTGTTTTATTTTTTAAATGATCATGCTACTCCTTTCATCATTCATATAACTCCCTTGGTTGCAAGTTTCATAGAATTCAACCCTAAGTAGCTTATGTAAATAAAGGTAATTTATTGTTTTGTGCATCTAAAAGGTCCAGTGGCTTCTACAATCTTCAAGATTTAAGTCTAACAGAAAAAATTATGCTCCTAGCAGACCCAGAAAAGAATATAATTATATTTCACCCGTTCTGATTGAGTGTATGTCCATTTCTGCACCAATTACTACATATAGTACCAGGAAATGGAATATTGGTTAACTAGATATGAGTCACACAAATTTCCTTGAAGCACATGAATTAAAAATAGAGAAGGAAGTGATTCTGAGAAGAAATCACGATGTAATAACCAAGGGAGGGTAGGTCGGTGGATGAAAATAACAACTGTGGGCAACATGAACGTGCTGACTCTTGTCTGCCGTGCCAGCTTTTACGCACTGTCAGTTATCAGTGACTTGCTGGAGCGTAATCTGGTTTCAGGCTTAGTTTCCTTTCCCAGTTCTCAGCCTTTATTTGGTGCTCTATCAGCACTCTAGTCATCCTTCTGGAAGGCTTCTCTGTTTTTGCTAAAGCTAATTTTGGATATAGCTTTATCACAGAAATCTCTAAAGGCTGTAAATTTCCCTAGGTCTCAGCTAATACATTTATTTAGTTTGTTCTTTTAAATTTATTGTTCTGGTTTTTTGGTACCGGGGATTGAACTCAGGTCCTTGTGCTTGTGAGGCAGGTGGCAGAACCACTGAGCTAAATCCCCGGCCCTTGTTTTTTTAAAAGTTGAGTTGAAGTCCAGTATAAACATAGAGTTGGCTTAATATTTATAGGACACACTAATTGGATTAGACTTGAACATTCTTACTATAAAACTCATCCAACCAGAATTTTCATTCTCTGAAATTCATAATCATATAGGAGGATTAAAGAAAGGCAAAGTGTGATTCAATTGCATCTTTTCTTTTTCTTTTTTTCTTTTTCTAGTACCAGGAATCAAATTCAGGACATTGCACTTGCCAGGCAGGCACAGCACCACTGAACTAAATCCCTGGCTCTCAATAGCACCTTTTAACAATGTGAAAATTGAAAAGCAAAGAATTAGAAATTTTGAATGTTCATCATACATGAACTTCTCTAAAAATCTGCTGTACATAGCCAAATTTTTATTTGCAACATTATACAGCCTGATTCACTAGAATGCTTATTTAAAAGAAAATAGTAGTTAACATTAATTGTAATCATTTATAATGAAGAAATTTCCATATTGTGACACAAGCAAATCTTCTTTTCTTATCCCTTTGAAGGCTTTTTTGTGTTATTTCTGCAATCAAAAATTTTTCTATCCTCTCTGTTTTGGAGGTATTTGCCAAATAGGCTAAAAATTGTTTTATTATATATACAGAAAATAATTGACCAAGGAGGCTATTATGTATAATCATAAATAGTATGACATTTAAAAATATCTATCTCTGAACTAAAGATAAGCTTTGGGGCTGGGGATTTAGCTCAGTGGCATCATGCCTGCCTCACAAGTGCAAGATCCTGAGTTTGATCCCTGGTACCAAAAAAATAAATAAATAAAATAAAAAATAAATAAAAATAAAGATAACCTTTGTTTAGTATAAGGATGTAAATATGATTATGGGTCCAATAAAGAAAAAAAGGCTTAAATTTATGTCTTATTT